CATTTAAAGCTAAAAACAAAACAAAACACCGGAATGCGTCCAAAATGCACTGCACCAGTTTCACAGAAAAGGACCAGATCTGGAATGCAGTGCATCGCGTTTGTGATTTTGCCACGTTCCGGAGCTGTTTTTTTTAGCTTATAAAGGGGCTCTTAGGTGCATTTCAGTGCGTTTTTGATGCGTTTCTATGCGCTACAGTGCATTCCAGACCAGACAAAATGAGACATGCAGTATTTTTCTGGTCTGGTCTGGAAAGGACTGCGTTGGTGTGAACAGAGGCCAGAAATAGCATAGGGATACATTAGGACGCATTTTGGGTCTGGAAAACATCTGGTCTCTAGGTAATCTGGATGTGGTGTGAATGGGCCCCTAGGGCAGGTTCACACCATTTTTTGGACCAGATCTGGAACGCACTGCTGTTGTGGAAATGTTATTAGGATGTGTTTTTACTGTATTGTAATATTGTCATCATGTCTCCCTATGTCGGATTCAACCGAGGGACGCTCTAGCAGAGCGTACTTGGGTTAATCGGGACCAGCGGCAAAACGGTCAGTATGAAAACCTTCTCATGGGCTTGGAGACGTGTTTGCAGCGTGTGGGCGTTTTTGTTGGTTTGTGAGCACTAAGTGCAATGCGCTGGGCTTCTTGCCTTCAAACGTCTACACACATTAGTAGGGATGTCCCGATGCCACTTTTTCATGCCCAAGTACAAGTACATCCCCTCATGTACTTGCCGATACCAATTACTGATACTTTTTCTTAAAGGGACAGGTGACTTTAAATGATCCATAGTACAACTACATGTTACGTACTGTGGATCATGGTTTAACCTATTCATGTTAGCAGCGGAGAATTGTAACTCTATTACTGGAGTGTAGTGGAGGTGTGTGCTGTATATATGTACTACATATACATTACACACGTCCAGTACACTATAGCAATAGATTTACAGCCAGCCCCGTCCCAGCTTCCCTCACTCACAGTTTCACTCCGATCCCTGTTGCCTCACGCGGTGCCTCTCGTAGTCGGCGCTGGGCAGGATCGCTGCATCGCATCTTGGTGCTCAGCTTGTGGGAGGCGCTCACAATTCTGCCCTGCTAACATGAATAGGTTAAATCATGATCCATAGTACATATACAGCACATACGTCCAACACTGCAGTAAAATAGTTACAATTATCCCCTGCTAACATGAATAGGTTAAATCATGATCCATAGTACATAACATGTAGTTGTACTACGGATCATTTAACCCATTCATGTTAGCAGGGGATTATTGTAAAGCTATTGCTGCAATGTACGGGACATGTGTGCTGTATATGTACAGTACATATAGATATACAATTCTGCACTGCTAACATGAATGGGTTAAATGATTCGTAGTACAGGGCT